GAGCCACCGCGCCCAGCCTGTTCAGCCTATTCTGAATTTAGCAAAGTGAACATATTAGGGAGCACAAGCTGTAATATCACTTAGCCTTTCAAATAAAATGGGTACATTTCCCCCCTTTTACACAATAAGAAACAGACCCTTCTTTGTTTCTGACTGGTCGCCAAAGGGAATGCTGTATGATCATTTCAGGTGCAGATGCAGCTACAATGTCAGAAGGCCCCATGTCCTCTCTCTCCAGCTGGTGACGCCATGTAGTGCAGGGATAATGCTGTTTCTGTGAGTAATGAGAGCCGAGGCGGCTCCTGTGATGAATGAGGACACCTGTCATACAAATCACCTCCATTAGAAGACCCTCTCACTAATTATGAGAACCAGTGAGAAACCAACTGGAGGTGTACCTGCCTGGCTTTGGTGGGCTGCGCTGAATCACATGCATATACTGCCTCTTCATTAACGCCTTCAGATAGTTTGCATTGTACATCTTAGCAATACTGCACAGATACCGCTTCTGGATTATGGTGAGGTCTGGATGCTAAAAGATGGAATAAGAGGATTTATAGTCTGCATTGTAGAACAGAAGTTGGCAATATTCCTTACCTGAAAGGATGAATGTTCAGAAGAGTTGTACCATCTGTACATTTTACTTAAGCAAATTCAATTATGTTAACATGGCCCAAAGAGAAAGAAATGGTCATTTAAACAGTGCACGTGGCTCTGCTTGCCATTCCACTCAAGTGATTCAGATGCCCTATAAGGTTCAAGAACCCACTGCCTAGAGGAACAAGGAAAGAGTGACTCTGCAGTTCTGTCATCAAGTCTTACTTCCTGTGTGCCTCTCAGTGTGGACATCTTGCCTTCTCAATATGACTTTTTTAGATATAACATAGTACCTAAAAGCAACCCAGTTACTCAACTTAGTCTGAACTAAAGCAAGTCTTTTCTAGCACCGTAAGAATAACTGTGTTGGACATACTGCGGGACAGTATGCTGGTCTGTGATCCAGGTAATCTTGACTGAGATTTCCATTGTACTTGCTGATTTTAGAATGCTCACTTAAGATGCAAGACTCCACTACACATGCATGCATACATACACACAGGATTTACTTTACTGAATAGGTAGTAAACTCAGGGAAAAGTCAAAATATTACAAAATTTTACCCTAATTCTCACATTGTCTTAGAGATGATACTTTTAGCAGTTACGATCTTCAATGAGTAGTATAAGTCAACAGTTCTAAAATCCTTATTGTCATTTTCTTTACCTGCTTTCTTGTTATTTTGTAGTCCTTGAGGGAAATCTTTATGGGGTTGGGTTTTTATTTCTAAGATGGAACTTTCTTCCAGCATCTTTGTTGTTGGGGCATTGAGCTTCCTGAGTAAAAATACATTAGATCTGCAGCATCCTAAAGCCCTGAAAGAATTCTTATGACAAGGGATCTATAATCCTTGCATTCGTTCTTAAGTTTATTGACTCCTAGATAACATGCTGGATATACCTTGTCATCTGCAGTGCCTTAACCTCCCAGTAGCTTATCTTTAATAAAAAAGTTCAGCTCTGAATACAAAGAGCATTGGTATTTAAATATTTCTCTGTTAGCATACCTTTAGAAAGGATGCATCATCCATCATTGACTTAGGCATGTGAATTCTTTGAATTTGAGGAGTTTTCCATACCTCTTGCAGCTTGGCTATGTGTGAGTCCATTTTGTGTCCATCTTTGATTCTATCTGTAGGCAAGGACATTATCACGGGAATTTCAGAGATGAAGATAAACTCAAAAAATTTAGTTATTAAGATCTATACAGTTACATGTATCCTGGAATAGTATTATTTATATCAGACTATTAACTTTGAAGAGATTGTATGATATGCCATTTAGTTTTACAGCACACAAACATCTAAGATACTTATAAATATTATAACTATACATCATTACATATGGACTACATTATTTGGAACTCAGCTGAGATGCAAAATATTGACAGTAAGACTTTTTTAATCATGTCAGAAACATACTAAACAGGAAATATAAATGCAGGATTTGTACTTTAAAGATTTACATTCTTCATATGACTTGAGTATATAGTTTTAAAAATCTGTATCAGACTCAAGATAGAATACTACAAATTTTATGCCTTTAATGATGTAGTGTTAGGGCTTTGTAGAAATGTATCAAAATTTATTTTTACATAGCTTCAGTTATTTCACTGTTTTAATATGGATTTAGGCAGAATAAAACAATAGCCTTGTAGTAAAAGTAAAAGTTGTGCTGGGCGTGGTGGCTTATGCCTGTAATCCAAGCACTTCTGGAGATCAAGGTGGGAGGATCGCTAGAGGCCAGGAGTTCAAGACCAGCCTGAGCAATAGAGCAAGAACCCGTCTCTACAAAAAATTTTTTAAAACAGTAGCTGGGTGTGGTGGTGCGCACCCATAGTCCTAGCTACTCTGGACGCTGAGGCAGGAGGATTGTTTGAGCCTAGGAGTTGGAGGCTTCAGTGAGCTATGATAATGCCACTGCCTTCCAGCCTGGATGACAGAGTGAGACCTGTGTCTTAAAAAAAAAAATCTAGATTCAATGCCAGGAGTTGGCTATTATGTTTATATTAAATAATAGAATAAGACCTTAAGTCCAAATACAGAGGGAAACAATAAAACACTTATATTGACTACTAGCCCTGTTTTCCTCCAATTATAAACAGCAATACACATTGTTCATTATAGATTTGTGAAGTATATTAAGTGTAAAAAAAGGGAAAAAAACCTTTATCCTAACATCTACTAGTAATTATTTTTAAACATTGTGATATACTGTCTTTCAGAGGTTTTACTAGGCATATCTGTATTGTTTTTATTTCCTTTTTTTAGAAACAAGGTCTCACTCTGTTGCCCAGGCTGGAGTGCAGTGGCACAACCATAGCTCAATGTAACCTCAAATTCCTGGACTCAAGCAATCCTGCCTTGGCTACCCTGAGTAGCTGGCATGACAGACACACATCACTGTGCCCAGCTAAGTTGTTAAAAATTTTTGTAGAGACGAGATCTTGCTATGTTGTCCAGGCTGGTCTCAAATGCCTGGGCTCAAGCGATCCTCCAGCCACCGCCTCCAAAAGCACTGGGATTACAGAGGTGAGCCATCTCTGTTTGTTTGAGTAGGGTCCTATGGTATATAACCCTTTCATTTTTATTTTGATATTTGTTTAGAAATTTTGCTTTCATATAACAACCAATCTACCTCATATACTGATCATTGTTAACATTTCTTCTTTTATTATTTCACTCCACATCTGGGATGGAATATATTGTATTAATTCTGTTTTCTGTTTGTGTTTTATTTATTTTTACATTTAACTGTAGTTGGTAAGAATTTCGATGAGAAATCTACATTAATGAACCTATAGTGTAATACATATTAAAAATGGCCACATTATTTATTTACATATATATATGCCCATATATATGTGTATATATTTTTTTCCTAGGTAACTGTAAGGAGTATACATTTTACAGGAAAAACAAAATGAACCCAGGTTTATATATCACTGAATTTAAATGAAACATTTAAAAGCTACTATAACTACTATAAAGACACACACACACACACACACACACACACACACACACACACCCCTAAGGTCAGTTAACTCCACCTCCTCTCCCAAGGGATAATAAAGCAATTAATCAGAGGCCTCTGGGCACTTGTCTTACTCTCTTAACTCCAGCAAAGAAGAGGTATTTGAAAGCTCTTTTATTTCAAATGAGAGAAAAATATCAGCAATGAGAAATATTTCATGTTCTTTGAAGCTGTTCAATTTAAAATTTTTCCTTTAATTATATATAAACCCCAGGCTGTGCTTGGTGCTTTTCAACCAACATCAGTTATAAACACAGTTCTTTTAGGATTCATTGTTAATTTCAAAAATGTTTGATGTGAGATAGACTATATTAACAGAAGAGAAAGAACCTGCAAGATTGCTCTTTGAAATCTTAAAGACTAAGTTCACCAGGGATGCTAATAAAGTCTATTTTTAAAACTCTATTATATACGTAGTTACAGGCAAATTAGATTCTCTGAACCATTTATTTGTAGATATTAGCTGCTTTATATGCAATACTCACCAGTACCTTTAGAATTCTGGTAGTAAGAATGTCCAGCTGATCTGTTAAAAAATTATATAAACAATATGCAATAATTGACAGCTTTATAAGCACTAAAGAACATATTTCAAATGAAAAAAGTATTACATATGCTTTTTGCTTTTCATGTTTCTATCAGACATAGTGTCTTGCAAATTTTCTCCTGTAATTCTGGTTAAATCCTAAAGGTTCCAAGGTTTTTCAACGTGAGTTATTTGAGATTTTCCCATGATAGAAAGGATTTATTTTAGGCCAGATTTGCTCTTAATTTTATGGCTTGCTAATCTAATTCCAATAGTGAGCTCAATAAAACAGTTTGGGCTCCTGTTGCTTTCCATGATATTTTCTTGCTCTCTTTATCTTTAATAAAGCAATTTGAGTATTGAAAAAACTATCCTTTGAGTAGTACTTAAGGTGTGTTGGAACTGATAAATTAGTCTGTAATGTTTCTAATTTTGTACAAGTTCTTTTTTTCTTTTCTCAAATTAAAACAAAACATACTTCCTTTCCTCTCCCTGCAATTTATTCAATAACCAAGAGTTCACTGATCTCCTAATAAACTACGATCCAGCAGTCTGCCAAGAACTGAAGAACAGAACGGAAGACCCCATCCCATCTTTAAGAAGTCTCCAGTAGCACCAGATATAAAAACGATGGCCCCAGGTGCAGCAGGGCCATGACTGTGCGCTGAACTGGACAGCAAACGCCCTGCAGCTCGTGCTTTTAGGGAATAAAGGAAGGAGGTGACGAGGGGGTATTCGCCTCCAGCAGTGATTTCAGCAGCTAAATGTCTTCGTCTAGGAACAGTAATAAAAACCTGCTCAAAATGAAATGGATTTATGAAGACAGGAACTTCAGTGAGAAGAAAATGTCAAGATCAAGGTGCCTTTTAACTACCAGTTAACACTTGCGTAATTTGCCAGAGCATTATCTAGTGGGCCCAGTGCGTACCTCAAGATAAACACGGTATGTTATGTCTAAAGAAATTCACTGTTAATTTAAATGGTCCTGAAATGTCTATAAATAAATTTTCAAAGTTGGAAAAAAAAAATCCACAAAGTCATCTGTCAAATTAGCGAACAGAAACCCTCATTCGACAGAAAGGTGGCTACTGTCTCGCACAAGGAACTGGTTTATAGACTTGGAAGCCCTCCATTAAGCTGGGAGATGTTTTCTCCCTCCTCTGTCCCCCGCCATCCTGGCCTTTTGTAGATTCAGTACCGTGGCCAGACGGCAATTTCCCCGGCATGTTTCGCAGCGCCTCCTCGGGGCAGAAGGAAGCACGCAGGCGACTGTCGCAGTCACCGCCGTCTCGTCAATGCACCAAACGCTCCTCTCCGCTCAGAAGCCCTTCCCCTCAGCAGCCAGTCAGCCTCCATATTTCCCACCCAGTCCACAACAAACGTTCTCCCCGCCTCTCCGTGAGTGCACCGAGGACCAGACCGTGAGAGGAGCAGCCAGCCCCCCACTCCAGGGGGTGTGCGACCCCGGGCGGGCGCCATCCTCTCGACTCCCCAGGGCCCCAGCCTCACCCGCCGCCGCCACCCTCGGTCCCAGCCGCTGCGGGCGGCCCTGCGGAAGAGCTGCTCTCTGTCCAGTCGGACCCTGGGCCCCGGCCCGGCATCTCCGCAGTGCCCGGCCGCGAGCTGTGTGCGGGAGAACCTGTCCCCGCTCCCCGCGCCGTCAGCACGCGTGCGTCAGGCGGTGAGGTACTGGCGCAAAGAGGCGAATGGCGCCGGATTCTAGCCCCCTCCGAAGCCGTCCGGACCCTGCCCGAATAGCTTCGGGAGAGCGAGGGCAGCCTGGCGACCCTGAGTTAACTTCGGGGAGGGGCGGGAGGAGGGGTCTTTGGTAGACCGCGCGTCTGCACGTCTGCATCTCTCTGTGGGAGCGATGCGTCACGGCGGGGAGATATACATGTCCCTAAAACAAAAGGTGCCTTCCACCTCAGTATTCCAGACTCGCAGCACATTTATTTGCAAATCTTGGGTATCACCATATAGGTCAAATGCCAGTATGCAAACCATGGACCAAAGAACCCGCCGCAGGGATGCTAAGCGTTGTCCGTTGACCGTTATCACCTAGGCAACCAGGCTTAGCTTGTATCCCATCTGCCGATTTTCGCCAACTATTTGTGCGCACGCGCAAGACCCTCTCCACCACCCGCCACCCCCCCGCCCTACGCCCTGTTTCCTCGGGGCGAGTTTCTCATGAAGTTTGGCCTGTGGGATGCTCCGTAGTCAGAGGTGTGGCAGAACGGGAGACACAAAAGGAATTGGGATTGGGATTGGTTCGCACTTCACGTTCCCGGAATTCAGTGGCCGTCGCGCGCAGGCTGGAGAGAGTGTGTCTGGCGGTCTGGTAATCCCGGTAGCAGACATGCCTCGGTACGCGCAGCTGGTCATGGGCCCCGCAGGCAGCGGGAAGGTGAGGATTTGGGGAGAGTCGGAGCTCGTGGGAAGCAGGGGTTCGAGTCTTGAGGGAGGGACCGCAGGGTGTGTGTGCCGGGGACCCTAGAGACACAGCGCAACTCGCTTCTGCAGTTTCGCTCCCCTTTTTGTTGTCTTAAAAGGGGGAACAGTGGTAGTTGTTAATATTTATTGGATACTTATGCCCCCACCGCATTTATTTCCACAACCACCCTGTGAGATAGATCCTGTTATTGCCATCTTACAGAAAATGAGACACAGAAAGGTTAATTAAGTTCTTTGCCCAGGATCGCACAACTAGTAAGTTACGGCCAGAATTTGAATCCAGTTTTCTAACTCCAGAGTCCGGCCCTGTCTCGCTCCCAGGAGATTGAAGTGGGATCTCATGTAATTACTGTTTCTCAGAGCTTGAGACATGGATTCCTGAGGTGATTTTAGGTGGTACGTGAACCTGCCATTAAGGAACATCGGAGGCCGGCGCAGTAGTTCACGCCTATAATCCCAGTGCTTTGGGAGGTGGAGGCGGGAGGATCGGTTGAGGCCAGGAGTTCATGACCAGCCTGGGCAACATAACGGACCCTGTCTCTACAAAAGAATATAAAATAACAAAGGGAGAAAAATTAGCCGGGCGTGGTGGCGTGTGCCTGTAGTTCTGAGGAGGCTGAAGCAGAAGGATGGATCCCTTGAGCCCAGAAGTTGGAGGTTATACAGTGAGCTATGATTGTGCCACTGCCCTCCAGCCTAGGTGACAGAGTGAGACCCTGTATCTTTAAAAAAAAAAAAAAAATCAGATTGTATATTGAGAAAGTTGTTCTCTTTTCAGTTCTCTTTCAGTTCTTCACATTCAAGTGAAATTGGGCATGGTCCTAGAGTATCTTCACCACTTCTTTAATCTCCATGTCTTTTCAGAGAGCAGGTCTTAGACTCAGAGCTTTTCATAGATACCTGTATTTAGCTAAAATCAAAATCATTTTAAAGTTTTATGTAATTTTATAGTTACCTTGACATTATGATAAATATAACTAGTTTTCTGTTTGCAATTGAGAAATTTTTTTTCTTGTAAACAAATATTAAGGGAATAATGTTGGAGGCATACAAATACAGTAGCAATAGTGAAGATATTGATCAAATAACAAGTGTGGGAAACAGTCTGGAGCTGTTGTGTAGCTTCAGTCTTTAATTTAACAAACACACTGTTCTAAGCCATTGACCTATTCTGGGCACAGGCCATGTACATGTGACTAAGATATGGCCCTTACCTACCCAGAGCCTGTAGTCTGTTTTGGAAGACAGACAGGTGGCTTGTCAATTAAGACACAGTATGATGCATGGAGAGGGCATCCAGGCAGAGAACAGTGTGTGTAAAGGCACTGAGGGGGAAAGCATGATGGAGGTTGTTTCTATATTCTATATTAATTTTGGACCGATTGTGTCAGATCTTTCTATAAATTGTTGATGCCTACTATCAGAAACACTTAGTAAGCATGTTCTTTATGGCAGGCACTGTTTTGGGCCTTGGGGATTGTGTGAGGAACAAAACACACACATAAAATCCCTGCCGTTGTGGAGCTTGTATTCAAACGTGAGTCAGTCAGTTTGAAATAATGACCAAGCATTTATTATGTACCAGGTACTATGCTAGTCCCTGGGCTTACAAAACTAAATAAGATACATCTCTTCCTTTAAACAGAGGATGGAGAGGATGGGACAGACAAGCAGCCTAGAGATTTTTTTTTTTGAGACAGGTTCTCTCTGTTGCCCAGGCTAGAGTGCAGTGGTGTCATCATATCTCACTGCAACCTCAAACTCCTGGGTTCAAGCAATTCTCCTGCCCCAGCCTCCCGGGTAGTACCATGCTTGGCTAATTTTTCTACTTGCAGAGACAGGGTCTCACTCTTGCTCAGGCTAGTGTGGAACTCTGGCCTTAAGTGATCCTCCCACCTTAGCCTCCCAAAGTGCTGGGATTACAGGCATGAGCCACCATGCCTGGCCAAGCCTAGAGATGTTAACGTAGTACAGTAACAACTACATGGGAGATAATTTGCAAACTGATAGCCCACCTCCAGTCTATTTAGTTAAACTATACAAGTCAGACAAGGCTTCTTGGGTGTGGCTCTGGGTCAAAAATAAATAAATAAATAAACTATACGAGTTCTAGTGGAGACACTATCTGTTAGGTGCTGCACTATGTAAGCAGAAATCTTCCCTTCATTCATTCATTTACTTTTTAGAGACAGGGTCTGGCTCTGTGGCCCAGGCTGGAGTGCAATGGCCCAATCATAGCTAACTGTAATCTTCAACTCCTGGGCTCAAGTGATCCTCTCACCTCAGCCTCGGAGTGGCTGAGACTACAGACACATGCCACCATGCTTGGCTAATTTTTAAATTTTTTGTAGAAACAGGGTTTCAATATGTTACCCAGGCTGACCTAGAACTCCTAGCCTCAGGCAGTCCTCCTGCCTTGGCCTGGAAAAGTGCTGGGAGTACAGGCATGAGCTACCATGCCTGGCCAATCTTTAAATACCTCTTGTCACTCATTAGAGCAGTAAGGAGCCTTAGTGATCACAAAGGACACACCAATTAGAGACAAGAAAATCGATGGGCAGAGTAGAGAAGCAGCTTCCCCAGAGTTAACCATGAGTCTAATCTGGGTCTGGATCTGCAGCCCAGTTAGATGTCCTGACCTCCAGCCCCCTGTCTTTTTGTTTTTTTGAGACAGAGTCTCACTCTTTTGCCCGGGCTAGAGTGAGTGCCGTGGCATCAGCCTAGCTCACAGCAACCTCAAACTCCTGGGCTCAAGTGATCCTCCTGCCTCAGCCTCCCAGTAGCTGGGACTACAGGCATGTGCCACCATGCCCGGCTAATTTTTTCTATATATTTTTAGTTGTCCAATTAATTTCTTTCTAATTTTAGTAGAGACGGGGTCTCGCTCTTTCTCAGGCTGGTTTCGAACTCCTGAGCTCAAACAATCCGCCTGTCTCGGCCTCCCAGAGAGCTAGGATTACAGGCGTGAGCCACCGCGCCCGGCCAGCCCCCTGTCTTTTTCCCTTGTTTTCAGTCAGCATCTTGGTTGAAGAAGGTGTAGTTTTGTCCTTAGTGGACACTGCCCCAAAAGGGGTGGAGAATCCTTCTGGGGGTATAGAGGGTAGCACACTACCTGTTGCTCTAACCTCCCATGCCTTGTGACATTACAGAGCACCTATTGTGCCACCATGGTCCAGCACTGTGAAGCCCTCAACAGGTCGGTCCAAGTTGTAAACCTAGATCCAGCAGCAGAACACTTCAACTACCCTGTGATGGCTGGTAAGTCCGCATTGGCGCCTTCCCCCTCCTTCAGGAGCAATAAGGGTGGGAGAGCTGAAAAATTAATTATTACAGTCTGGTTCTCTGGTTTCATGGTGAACAGCATGAGGCCGAGAGTCGTTTGGTGACATCTGTTCACGGTGGTGTGTGTAACGGTATCCTTTCTTGGTCTTTGATGTAAGACTTAAATGTGAGTGGACTCCTCCCTCAGCACCCTCCCCTTCTGTCCCTTTTGTGCTTCGTCCTGCTGTAGTGAATCCGGTTAACTGCTGGTCACTGTAAGTGAGCAGGCTGGTGTTTTTTAAAATTCTTTTAATTTGTTCATTCAAGTGTCTGTTGAACACCTGTTTGATGCCACCAGGGTTATATCAGAGAACAAGGCAAACACCATCCCTGTCCTCATCACCCTTTTAGTGAGGGTGATAAGCAATAAACAAAATGATAAACGTGTTGCAGAATGTGGTCAGGACTGTGGACAGGCTGATGAGAAGGACTAACCAGGAGAGGTTGCTTCAGGTAGGATGATCACGGACGGTGTCTCTGAGGAGGGGATTTTTGAGCCCAGACCTGCAGAGTGGTAATGTGCTCATGACTCTGGGGAAGGACCTTCCAAAGTGAGGAACATCAAGGTCAGTAAATAGCCTAGAGGTGAGAAGGGGTTTGGTATGTTCCAGAAAAGAAAAGATGTCAGTGAGCAGAAGCGTGAGTAAAGGAAAGAAGTGGGTAGCGGTAGCAGGACATGAGAAGTTTAGATTTTATCCTGTCAACAGTGGAATGCCACTAGAGGGTTTTAAGCAGAGGAGAGGATTGATATCTGATTTGTGTTTTTAAAGGTAACTCAGGCACTCAGGTGAAAAATGGACTCTCGGGGGTCAAGCGTTAAGCAGGGACCAGCAATGCAGCTATTGTAGCTGTCGTGCCCACCGTGACTAGGGTGGTCGTGGTGGAGATGTAAAGAAGCAGACACATGCAGTTCATATTTTGCAAGTAGAATAAAGAGCATTTTGTGGGGGATGGAACCAAGACAGTATAGGAAAGTGAGGAATCAAGGGTGACTCATAGGTTTCTGACTTGAGCTGTTAAGTGCGTGATATCATTTACCAAGGAGAGAGACAAGCCATGCAAGCTTTGGGGCAGTTGTCTTTGCACTGACTAAGCTGGAGATGTCTAGTAGATATGTAAGAGGTAATTGGATGTAATAGTCTGGAATTCAGACTTGAGGGCTGGCCTGGAGGTATAAATTCGGGGGTCAGCAGCATTTAGCACATAAAGCACATTTAGCACAGGACTGGATGAGATCACTTGGGCAGGGGACTGTGGTTAGAGAAAAGGACCCAGGACTGAGCCTCGAAGTCCTCTGATCTTCAGAGGTCTGGTAGAGGAAGTGGAAACAGTTTGACAACTGGAGGGAACTGTGAGGGTAAGAGGAAGTTTAGTTTTAAGATTGGAGAAGCTAACTGGGTTATACTTGTATGCTGAAGAGAACGATCCAATAGAAAGAGAAACTGCAGATGCCAGAGAGAGTGAAAATACCTGCAGGAATGACTGCCAGAATGAGGGAGAGGGGATCCCAAAGAAGTGGGGGCTTTTGCCTTTGCTAGAAATGAGGTGTTTCTTTCACTGGAACAGGGGAGAAGGTGGGCAGTAGGCATCATGTGGGAATATGGGAAATTCTCTTTCCTTGGCTTGTGATTTCTATTAATGATGTGTGTGTTGTCGTCAGCTGAGAGTGTCTGCAAGTGGGTAGGGTTGGGGGAGACAGGTTGAAGGGAGAGGAGGAGATGTGAAATGCTCATCTTCCTTGAGAAGAAGGCATGGAATTGCTTGGGATTGTTTGGTTGCAGCAAACAGAAAGCACTCTAGCTAGCTTTAATAAAAAGACGATTTATTAGAAGGAATGAGGGGACCTCTCAAAAAAGCTAAAAACAAAACTTTATGAGAGACTAGAACCATAAACACAAAAACAGGAGCAAGGCCAGCTTTCTGCCTGTCTCTGTCTTTTTCCTCCCTGTTACATACCAGCTTTCTTTGCTCTAGGATGCATGTGACCCAGCAAGGTCCCTCCAACCCCTGGTTCATATCACTTTCTGGTCCAAGTGTTTTATTGACTGACGAATGTCCTTGATTCATCCTTTTAGAAGGCTAATTTTATTATCCCAATTTGGGTCAGTTGTTTATCTCTGGGGAAAGGAGAAAATAATAATTTAAAATAATTTAAAAAATAGCCAGGCATGATGGTATGTACCTGAGCCCTAACTACTTGGGAGGCTGAGGCAGAAGGATCACTTCATTTGAGCCCAGGAGTTCATGGCTGCAGGGAGCTTTAATTGCACCACTGCGCTTCAGTCTGGGCAACAGAGCAAGACTTTGTCTCTAAAATAAATAAATAAATACATATATACATACATACATGCATACCTAAGGTAGCAAATTCTAATATTGATTTCTAAAAATTGATAAGAAAACCCCACACAAATTATGAATAGAGTTTTTTAAGCCCTTCCTGTTGGTGATTTAGATATATAGTTCATACCCTTTGTCCCCAAGATAAGGAAAGTGAGGCTCAGGGAGGTTACGTAGCTTCTCTAGGATCATTGTGTTAAGAAATGGTAGTTGGTTTTCTTTCTTTGGTTTTGTTTTACTTTTTTTGGAATAGGTAATACATATTCACACGGTTCAAAAGGCAAAAGGTATAAAAGAGTAAGTACGCAGGAAAACATCTCCCTCCTAGCTCTGTGTCCCAGCAATCGGCTCTCCTTGCTAGAGGCAGCCAGTGTTACCTGCTTCTGGTGTGTCCTTCCATAGATGGTCTGTGCATATCAAATTCAATACATATATGCATTAAGTGAACGTAGTGAATTTTTATCTTTTTTTTTTGTAGTACAAATGATGGCATTCTTACACAGTTCTGCACCTTGCATTTTCTGTTTAACAGCATACTTGAGAGATTGTATTATATCAATACTTACAGAAATTCCCCCTTTTGTGGCTGCATAATATTCCATTGTCTGGCTGTACAGTAATTTACTTGCTCAGTTCCCTATTAATAATTATTAGTCAGGTTACAATTTTCAAATGGACACTTATATTCTGGGCCCTTTCTGTCCCTTTCAGACATCCGAGAACTGATCGAGGTGGATGATGTGATGGAGGACGATTCTCTGAGGTTTGGTCCCAATGGAGGATTGGTATTTTGCATGGAGTACTTTGCCAATAATTTCGACTGGCTAGAGAACTGTCTTGGCCATGTAGAGGACGACTACATCCTTTTTGATTGTCCAGGTAAGTCAGTAATTTCAATGTGTTATTTTTCTTGAAGTCGTGATAGTTGTCCTCAGTGGGAGAAAGTGGAGTGAGCATTTGTAGCTCTAAACTTTACTGCAGTCAGGTACCAAGCTCTCATTTGTTGGCTCTAATTCATTTTTTTTTTTATTTTTTTATTTTTTTTTAGAAATAGAGATGAGGTCTCGCACTTGCTCAGGCTGGTCTCGAACTCCTGAGCTCAAGTGATCCTCCCACCTCGGCTTCCCAGAGTTCTAGGATTACAGGCATGAGCCACCGTGCCCGGCCTCTAATTCATTTTTGAGTTTATCAAGTGCTTGCTTTGTATACTGGGAATATGATAGAGAGCATGGCAGCCATATTCTCTGCCCTCAGGGAGCTCACAGTCCAGCAGAGTTCTAGACAGTATGAACAAAAATCACCCAAATGATATTTAATATTTATTTTGACAGGTATCCTACAGGAATAGCACAGATGGTCACAGAGCAGGGAGATTAGGAAGGCTTGTGATCCAGTGTGGCCTTTAGGCTGGGCCCGAGAGTGAAGGTAAGGGAAACAGTGGTCCAGGCAGAGGACACACCATGCTGACACTGGTGGCAGAAAGGAACAAGGCAGGCTGCAGGCACTGAAAAGGCTGGTGTGGCTGAAACATAGTAAACAGAGGAAATCAGCCAGGCACAGTGGCTGAGGCTGGAGGATCCCTTGAGCCCAGGAGTTCAAGGTTGCAGTGAGCTATGATGATGCCAGTGCACTCTAGCCAGGGAGACAGAGTGAGACTCTGTCTCAAAAAAATAAAAATAGAAAATAAAAGAATAAAACAAATATGTAACATTCTTGTAATGTTCTTTATGTAGGTCAGATTGAGTTGTACACTCACCTGCCTGTGATGAAACAGCTGGTCCAGCAGCTGGAACAGTGGGAGTTCCGAGTCTGTGGAGTTTTTCTTGTTGATTCGCAGTTCATGGTGGAGTCATTCAAGGTCTGTGGGTAAATCTGTTATAGATTTTTCAATCATGGGTACAAGTGGATGACAGTCTCCTTTAATTGTGGGATTCTGGACATTTCACAAACGATTCTAGAGTTATTTAGTATCTCTTATCATTAAATTATTATGATAATTATTTTTAACTCAAAAATAGTAAATTATGATGTAATAGATTTGGGAGAACTGCTTGCCAAAAAAAATTGAGGCAGATGGCTATTTTGTAAAATGAATAGTCTGTTTTTAATTTTCTGAGGACCTTTTGTCCAGTTTATGAATTGTGTACATCAAATTTTATTTTATTAATAGCTCTTGAGGAATATTAAATGGGAATAGGAATACTGTCTACATTGATATTTATGATCACTGTAGATTAAGTCTACATTTTCTGCCTTATCCTCACCTGTGGGAACCAGGGGTTGAGCATCTGCTTAAGGGACAAGGGACAAGGGACAGTTTTTCTTTATTCCTTGTTGGTTTTTGTTTTTGTTTCTTGAGACAGAGTCTCGCTCTGTCGCCCCAGCTAGAGTGCGGTGGCATCATGATAGCTCACTGCCACCTCAAACTCTTGGGCTCAAATGATCCTTCTGCCTCAACCTCCCAAGTAGCTGGGACCACAGGCACACCTCCACGCCTGGCTAATTTTTTCTATTTTTGGTAGAGACGGGGTCTTGCTCTTGTTCACGCTGGTCTGGAACTCCTGAGCTCAAGTGATCCTCCCGCCTCAGCCTCCCAGAGTGCTAGGATTACAGGCGTGAGCCACCGTGCCCAGCCAGTTTTTCTTTAGTATTATCAATAGCATTTCTTTTACTTAAATCAGTTTTGTTCCAGTGAAGAGTCAAAGCCTCTCTTTATGCAGAGACCAGGTAACTTTGTTGGCAACAGTTGACTCATCTTCCCTTTTCTGTTTCCTCCTTCAGTTTATTTCTGGTATTTTGGCAGCCCTGAGTGCCATGGTCTCTCTAGAAATTCCGCAAGTTAACATCATGACAAAAATGGATCTGCTCAGTAAGAAAGCAAAAAAGGAAATTGAGAAGTGAGTTCACTGGTTTTCTGTTGTTATCAGATCTCAACGGCAGAGACAAACCTTCTGTTTTATTTACATGTGAGGTTTGGTGACTCTATAAATCTAGTTTCCTGACTTATTTTTCCTTTTATTCATCAGTCTTCTCTCTCTCTTTTAAAGATTTCTAGATCCAGACATGTATTCTTTGTTAGAAGATTCTACAAGTAACTTAAGAAGCAAAAAATTCAAAAAATTGACTAAAGCTATATGTGGACTGGTAAGCTTTTTATATTTAGTTTTTTCTAAATGGCCTAATCAAGTGTTTGCCCACATCCAGTCATAGGGAGGCGCTATGGTAATCAGAAGTACAAATGATTGTAAAACTCAAATGTAAGTTGAAAATTACGTATTTTACACAACTTCAGAATAAACCTTTCTTGAAATCCCCAACTCATAGATTGATGACTACAGCATGGTTCGGTTTTTACCTTATGATCAGTCAGATGAAGAAAGCATGAACATCGTATTACAGCATATTGATTTTGCCATTCAGTACGGTGAAGACTTGGAATTTAAAGAACCAAAGGTAATTTCTGATTCAGGGTGTCTATTGGCTTTTGATAATAACATTTGTCATCACTCACTGGCCTCCTGCAAAATCTGGGCAACTCCTTAAATTCGTTTTTTGTTTGTTTGTTTGATTCTGAGACAGAGTCTCGCTCTGTTGCCCAGGCTAGAGTGTAGTGGTGTCATCATAACTCACAGCAACCTCAAACTCCTAGGTTCAAGCCATTCTCCTGCCTCAGACTCCCGAGTAGCTGGGACTACCAGTGTGATCTACCACGCCCAGCCTAAATTAGTTTTTTGTCTTAGTGGCAGCAGTTACCTGGGCTTTTCTGGGTGATCTCTGAAATTGACACCTATGCTTAACAAATGGTACCAGTTTTACTCTACCTTTCGTTGAGGGGATATTATTCAGTCTCTTTGTGCTCAGAGTTTGGGTGTATGTGCCAAGAGGAGATAAAATCCAATTGAATTTAGGCTGCCCTCACATATGTCATATAGTTGGAAAAATCCTATCAACCATGCCTTTCCTTAACAATTACCTATGAGCAACAGCTGGAACTGGTGCTGGGTACTAGTCCCATATAGAGTGTTACCTGAAAGTATTTAAACACATACTAGTTCTAACTGAGGGGAAATGAGTGTGTTTTCTGTTTTGTGTTTCCTTTGTGTCAGGAACCTGAAGATGAGTCTTCCTCTATGTTTGATGAATATTTTCAAGAATGCCAGGGTGAATGAAGAGTTTACTAAATAGTAACTGGATATGAAGAGCTGTGGCCCTATTAGCAGAACCTTCTTCTCTTCGAAGGATGCAATAGTAGAAAGCTATTTATTTTAATGAAAAAAAATAGTACTTGATTGTTTATCAGCAGTATGTCTGAATCAAGTTCTGAGTTATTCTGAAACTGTTGCTGTTTAAAGTGGAATCTTTTAGTATTATTTCAACAGCATCAATTTAGATTTTAAAAGTCAAAATTGCAATGATTGCACATAGATTTGTATATAAATATAAATTAGTACCCGTGCTACAGTTAAGGCCAGTCTAACCTTATTTTTACTGTTTGTGTTGTTTTGAGGGGGGCAGGAATTATTGTAACATGTACATATGTATGTCCCAAAGGGAAAAATCTGGAAGGATATAGATAACACCATTGATAAACAATGATTTTAATCACAAAAAGATAAATTTGTATCTTACCGTTTTCCTATACTGAAAATGTATTATTTATATAATTAAAAAATTAAAAGTAACTATGTTTTGAGATATGTGTGTGTGTGTGTGTGTGTGTGTGTGTGTGTGTGTGTGTATGAAACAGGTAGCACTAGCATTTCATTACACTCTTATTTTCTAGGCAAAATTTTAAATACTCGGCAAATTTTTGAATGAATAAATCTCCCCAAGTGTCAGTAGGCAGTGATTGTTTTTAGGAATGTAGTTTATAGTCCCTGAGCATTTAAAAATGTCTACATTCCTTGAATAATAACAAATACACACAAAAATACAAAAGAAGTAATTTTTCTTTGTAACTTCTTGCCACATTGATTGAATTGTTCAATATTTCTAGGTTCATTTGTGTTGGGTGTGAAAGCAGGCCCCAGGGAATAGGAGTGTGTCAACTAGCATCTGTCCTGGTCCAGGCCCTACTAAAGCAAGGCTGAATCTCATATGTTAAGGCATTGTGCTAAGAAGCATTTTGCATAATCTTTCATTTAATCCTCATAACAGGCCCAGCCTCCATTGGTCATCTGGTGACAGATTTTCCAGCTGATACAAATTAAGCCCTTATAGAAAACCTGCAACTCAGGTTAAATTTTTAATTATTCTTGGGCCTAGATAGCAGAAGTACACCTACAGTGTTAAATTTGATCCATTTTAATTAAGGAAGCGAAATGTGAGGACCCATAGGGATCAGTGGTAGCTTGTGCCTGGGGGCCCAGGCTAGAGGGAAGAGTCGGGTACCTATACCATGGCGCATTGGTGTGAGCTCTTCTCACAGGGCCAATCAGAGAAGAACGTGATGAGTAGGCAACGTAGGGATGTGCTGGGCTGCTAGAGGACTTTCCTGTGACCCGTAGAGTATGGTTAGTGTGGAAACACCCTGATCTCCCAGTGTCACTGATTCTTAGAAACTTTATTGTCACATGGGAGAACAAAGAAGAGGCAACTTTTTACTTGCCTTCTTTACTACTCCTTATGTACCTCTCTTCCTTAGCTTCCGGAGACTCTGATATGTTCCTGTAGGGAAGAAGTGAAGGGCCAGATTCTGTTGCCTTCCCCTCTGGACACTGAGGTTTCAAAGGTGAATCTGACAATTTCAATCCCCAAGGATTTCAGTCTTATAGGAGAGGCTTCATGACTCTTCACACAAATTTACCGAGGTTCTGTGCATGCCAGGCACTGGGAATGGGATGGGGATGCTCAGGGCAGACAAGGCCTTACTTGCGTGGGGCTGCCATGCTGGCCTGTGAGACTGACCTGGAGCAAGGAAACCTCTGACAAGGGATGGGAAGAAAACAGATGAAATGGAAAGTGACTAAGGGGCTACTTTGGGCTGTTGGTCAAAAAAGTCCTGGCCTTTAAAAGATGCTATTTGGCCAGAGACCTATGTGAGAATTCAGATGTGGGAACATGGGGCAGAATGTTCCAGGCTGAGGAATGGGCAGAAGAAATGGCTCTGAGGCAGCAATGAACTTGGCTTTTACTATGAGGTGCTTTCTAGTAATAGGTTAAAAACTTCTGAGCTTTCAGTATGCTCCAGGCATGAGTTCTAAGCACTTTATATGTAATGCAATCCTCACAAAACTAGGAGGTAAGTGCTGTTACCTCCATTTCCGGGTGAGGAACTGAGGCACAGTGAGGTCAATTAACTTGCCCAACATTTCACACCTAGTATATGTTGGAGCTGGATTCAAACCCAGAGACCACTTTCTCATCCATTACACAAGGAATTGCAGTACAGAATAATGCACAAATCCTATCTTTCGTGTGCTCTTCTGTTTCCCCATTTTTATTTTTTTAACTTTTAAATTTATCGTTATTGGCTGGTCCGATGGTAGTGGGTTATCAGAACTTATTAACATTAGTTGTCACTACAAGTTGGTATACAACCCCCGACTGCTAAATTATGACTGGCTTAAAAAATAAATTTATATTATTATTACTATTATTATTATTATTGAGACGGGGCCTCGCCCTGTCGCCCAGGCTGGAGTGCAGCGGCGCGATCATAGCTCCCTGCAACCTCGGACTGAGCCTCCTGAGTAGCTGGGATTACAGGTGCGCTCCACCACGCCCGGCTATTTCCCCATTTTTAAAAGCAGTGGGGCAGGGGAGGGGGGTTCATTCATTCACTCAAATATTTGCTGATGCTTACTATGTACCATCGCTGTGTATGCGCAAGAGATACAGCAATAAACAAAACGGACAGGATCGCTGCCTCTTTGACGTTCACAGGGATGAGCAGACAGACAAACACCAAAAGTTAATAAGAGAATCATACTAACTAAAGAAAAAAAGCGGGAGAGAAGGACAAGGCAGGGGGCTGAAGTGGGGTTGAATTTTAAATAGTATGACCAGGGAATGCTTCACTGGAAAGGTGATCTTTGAAAAAAAAACAAAACCGAGGAGACTATTGATCGCTGGGATTCTCTGAATCCAAGACCTATCGCTAGTCCACGTGTGCATTACTCACGTGCGACACTCAGAGCCCCGCCTAGTGGTGGGGCACCCGGTGCGCCTTCAGATCCGCGCAGCCGCAGCAGCCAGCCGCTGGACAGCAAGGCCGGAAGCGCTGCGTCCTCCCCTCGCCCTCCCCTTCCGGCTCACTTCCGCCTACCCCGCCTGGGCCGCCGGACCGGAAGCGCCGAGCTCTAAGCCGATCCTGCTCAGCTGGGTTGAGACCCGAGCGCCGCCGAGATGCCGGTGAGGGTTAGAGCTGGGGCGTGGGGAGACGGCGGGGATTGGGGAGAACCGCGGGAAATCGTGCGTGAGCCAAGAGAAGCGGGCTGAGGAAGGCGGAGAGGAAGCGGGGACCTGAGAAGGGGAGAGACGAGGGGAGGGGGCCTGTCGCTGTAGGACTGGGGCGGCCCCAGGGCTGTCAGCTTTGGGAGGCGGGGGGCGCAGCTGGATGGGGCCAGGGGTCCGGGGTATGTGAGGAAGCCGCCTCAGCCCCTCCTGGCACCTTCTCTGCAATCCCAACCCCTACTCTCGCCTCTTCTACAACCCCCGAGTCCAGCAGGGTTCCCAAAGCCTCACTAGAGCCGCCAAGCCAAGGGCTGCGCTTTTTATTTTTCATTTTTCAAGTCCACGGTCCAGCTTCTCCTTTTCCTGTCGGGCCCACTTCCTCCTCCGCCCCAGGGGACGGGTCCGCCTGCTGTTTGTCATCTGTCAAAACCCACTTCCCGGACTCCTGTGTCGCCCCGGCAGTGGCGGCCACCCCCAGAACCAGCTGGGTTTAGGGCCTTCAGAATCAAGGTCGGCGCCTGACTTCCAAATGTTTCCGTTTTCCTGTGCATCTGAGTGGGAGTAAAAATTGATGATGGTCTGGTTGTCCTTAATTTCTGACAGCCGAGCTGTAGGGGAGATATATCACCATCATGGTCTCCATCTTGCAGATTAGGAAAAAGGTGGTTCAGTGACGTGTGATTACGTTCAGCAAACATTACTGAGCATCTACAGCGGAGCACTAGTGCAGCAGTGAATAAGGCCAACAAATCCCTACTCTTGAGGGATGTACATTCTAATCAGGAGACAAGACAACAAAAGCGTAAACATCAATAAAGGAGATACCGATAGTTTCAGATAGTGACAAATGCTATGGAGGAATGAGATGAATAGCAAGACAGTTAACTGGTGAAGGGGAGGGTGGAGGCTGCGTTACATAAAGGATACCTGTGATGAAAAGGAGCAAGGTATAGTTAAAGATACATATCTGATGAATTCCACAGTTACCATTTGACTCCTGGGGAGTGCTGGGCAGGCCCTGAGCTACACACTTTATAAAATGTACCGTTTGATCCTCATACTGACCCTGTGAAGTAAATACTATCATTTCTTTTTGCAGAAGAGGAAACTGAGGCTCAGAGAAGTTAAGTAACTTGCACAAGGTTGCATACTAGTGGTAAAGCCAGATTTTAAGCCAGGATTCTTTAAAGCCCTTTGCTGATTCTAGTTGCACATAGAGCACCCTGGACTTACCTCGTGATTACTTATTTTGTGTCTGCCTTCTCCATTAGCCTGAAAGTTCTTCAAGGATGAGAGCCATACTGGTCTGTATATACTATATCACAGTGTCTTGCACATAGCGTGTGCTTAGCAATCATTTGGTGAATGAATGAATATGTGAGTGGGCTCAGTGTTGTAGAAAGCCAGACATCTTGTAAAAAGCAGAACTAGGAATCAGCGTACAAGTTTCTCTCATAAATGTGATTTCCCCCATCCTTTAACTCTCACCTACTTGCTGAGGCAGTATACATCCTCATTTTACAAATTTGGAAACAGGCTAACAGAAGAAAAGTGATGGCTTGATCAAAGACATAAAGCCGGGACGTGGCAGAGCTGAAAAGCTAGTGCTTGGGTCCTGGTTTACCTGGAGGGTAGGTACCCTGATTTATGTGGCATTTGCCTTTCTGTAGTGGAAATACTCCCACCAGGTGCCAGTGTGATGTCACTGAGCATGAAGTTGGAAGAGATGCCCAGTAGCACCCCATTAATAGTATTTCCTCTATAATAACCTTAAGAACATAGACAACAGTAAAATGTAATTTTAAAAATTTAGAAAGTGGCCGGGCGCAGTGGCTCACGCCTGTAATCCTAGCACTCTGGGAGGCCGAGGCGGGCGGATTGTTTGAGCTCAGGAGTTCGAAACCAGC